GGTTCATTTGCTCATGGGCTTTTTTTTTTTTTGCTTAGGCTTTTTTCTTTGCCCTTTTGATCCGTTAGCCCCCCCCCTTTTAAATTCTTAATCTCATGCGTCTAGCTCTCTCCTTACCATTCGACTCCTCCTTCTCCCACTGCCACCCACATACCACTCAAAGGCGGGGCACCCCCAGGCTTCTTGTGCACTCAGGGAGCGAAGCATCGTCCTGTCCACAGTGCCTGGTGAGAGTCAGCTCTGAGCAGAGGGTCCTGGCCCCGGCTGGGTTTCAAGTGCCTTCTCCTGTGGGCACCTCCCCTCACCTGGCTCATCATTGCCTGCACCTGGTTCCACCTTTCCTTTGGGTGGGTGGGCAGAATCAGGGTCTGCTGCCTTTTGTGGACCGAGTCACTGCCATTGGGGGATGGCACAGTGGGTCTACAAGTTCGCTTGTGCTCACAGTGCCCATGGCATGGGCATGCTCAGTGGGAGCTCTTAAGGATTTCGGTTTTTCAATGTTATTTCATGGGTCCTTTTTAAACCCTGTGTGATGTTTCTTCCTTCTCAGCTAGTGGATTTAATTTTAGTTATTGTCTGTGTGTGGCACCCAACTTCTTCTTCTGGGGAGGGCTGTAAAGACAACCACTTCACCATCTTGTCGATCATGTGATGGATTCAATGCCTTCAACATGGCCCAAAGCCTGGTCTCACTGAGACACAAAGAAGTCTTGTGCTCTGCTCCCAATCACCCGCAGGCTCACAGAATGTCCTCATTGGAAAAGACCATGGAGAGCCTCTGATTCAATCCCCTCATTTTACAGAGAAAGGAGCTGCAGCCCAGAGATACAAGAAGACTTGCTGAAGGTCTAACAGCTGGACAATGAGGCTACAGGGGCTTGAACCTGTGTCCTTGAGCCCAGGTTTCTTGATCTTGGGGGCCGCTATGCTTTATATTAGGCTACATGGTTATATCGCAGTGCCCAGCATATCACAGGTGCTTAATAAATGCTTATAGGTTGATCGACTGGTCACTTACTTGCTTCTGGCTATTGGAGCCCCTAGGTCAGGGTTCTCTTCCGTATTTCAATTTCCTGGTTAGGAACACAAAGCCTGAATCATAGAACCACACAATTCCAGAGTTAGAATGGACTTCAGGGGTCATCTGGTCCAGTCTAAACCCGGAAAAGGACCCTCACTGCAACTGTCCTAACAAGGGCTCACTGAGCCTTTGCTTGAAGACTTCTGAGGAAACAGAGCCCACTGCCTCTGGAGGCTGCCCTGTCCACTCTGTGACAGCTGATTGGTGGGTCCTCTCTGCCTCTGTCCCCACTGCTGCTAATTCTGCCTTCTCAGGTCAGTTCTAACAACTTTTATGTCACAGCCTTGCAAGTACTTGAATACCGTGGTGATTGAGTCTTCCAAAGTGCTCCTCTCTAACAGGTGAGATGGAGGGGCTGGAAATTACTGCTGTTTTAGTGATTTTAGGAAAGCTTCAGGTCTTGAGCTGCTTTCTCCATTCCTGTGTGGTGATTTCTACTTTGAATGGGGTGCTCCGTATGTCTTAGGACAGGTCAGTTCCAATGCCCATGCCAGCCACCACTTTGGGCCAGTCCAGGAATCCCTGAGGCTGAGAATACCATGCTGGTCAGCCTGGCTGTGGTCGGATGCCTCCTCCCTCCTGAGGGCTGTGGGTACTAACTAGCACATGTGCGGCCTTTGCATTTAAAAGTGAGAAGCATTTGTGAAATGAGGCTTCGGAATGGTACTTTCTCATTTGCATGAAAAATGCTTCTCTCAGCTGTTTGCTTGCCAAGTAGGGCAAGGAGTGTTGATTTAAGAGTTTTAAAAAATAACCCCCTTAGTAATGTTGCTGGAGGGCCCAGGAATGCCCATGATGTCGTGGAAGTCTCTCTTGTAAATCCCATGTGCCCTCCAACCCTCGTACCCTTGAGGTCATGACTTCTACAGGCTTGGGTCTAGCCGTGAATCAAGCTCATGACCGCACACCTGAGCATGGGTTTGGCAAACTTGGAGAAACCTAGAGAAAAAAAGTTCAGACAAATGTCTGGAGGGGCTAAACAGAGACATACCCCATGTGGCTTCTAAGAATACATGTGGATCTAGGAATGATCGCCCTCTGTTGTTGAGGAAAATAATCTATCTGGAGAGAGAGATGCAGAATAAGAGGGGAAGCTGCTGCTGGGTGGTGACCCAAAAAAAGAGAAGAAAGGTAGGTGTGGGAGTGGGCTTGACATGGAGAAACAACCTGGACCTGCCCTTCGGCTGGTACTGTGAGCCCCGTGGGCTGTAGGATGTCTTAGAAAGTCTAGGTCGTCTTCTCTCAGAAGGGAGTTTAGGGTGGTATTCTAGGTCTAGAAGACTCTAAGGTTTGGGGGAAGGTCCCAGAAGCACTGCCCAAAATAGTGCCATAAATAGAGAAGACTGGGGAGACCAGGTCCACCCTAGGGAAGAGCAGGTGCTTAACTTTGAGCAATGACATCCAGGGCAGTACAAGATGTTTGGGGAAGTCAGTTCACCAGAATGGCAACACGGAGGTCTCTTGGAAGGACAACTGTCTCCACCATTTGTGCTTGGACGAGACCTTGTGTTTTCTGTTGGGCTACACGTAGGCCTGTCTCCAGGTGGGTTTGGCTGTGTCCTGGGGGATAGCGCTGTGCTGCACTGCTACACACTCCTGCACAGGTGGTGGGAGACAGTGCAGAGCACGACACCACATGCCTGTGGAGGCAATTTACTTTAAAAGTCGTCTCCAGAAGCTCTTGGGAGAGACAGGTGGAGAAAGGGCCTCATGGGAGGTGGCACGAAGTAGTGGATGGCAGTCTGCTTGGCCAAGAGCCTGAGGGGGCTCCCACAAGGCGCACACAGAATCAGAGGTGCTTTAGAGAGTGACCCGGGCTGGGGTTACGTTCATGTGACAATGTCAGCCTGAGTGCTTGCACGGGAGCCACCTTCTGGGGTTTCCAGGAAGAGATCGTGGTGTAACTATTATGAAATTCCCAAGACTGAACCTGGTCTGTGTGAGCCGAAGGCTTCATGAACAGGCCAGACGTCCCCCTAATCGTCAGCTCTCTCCCTCTCTGCCACACTCACATAGTCACAGCTGCATCATTCTTCCTCAATTCAGTTAAAGTCCTTACTCCTACCTGCTAACCAGAGAGATCCGGACCTGGCCCAAGATATAGAAGGGAGCAGCGGGCCTGGCCTGGATACCACCGATATCATCAGAGCTTACATTTACATAGCACATCAAGGTTTGCAAGGAACTTGACATTCACGACCTCATCTGATCTTCAGACAACCCTGTGAAGCAGGTGCTACTATTATCACCCCCATTTTACAGAAACTGATGTCGGACTTGTCTTTGTCTCGGCCACCACTTTTGGGCCAATCCTGGAATCCCAAGCCTGTGAATGACATGCTGGTCACAATGGGCCTTGCCCAAGGCCACAGAGCTGATAAATATCTAAGGGAGGATTTGAACTCAAGCCTTCCCATACCCCCCTTGATTTCTGTCTCACCCTTGACTGCAGAGGTTTATCAGCAATTTGGCTCTGGCTCCATGACTTCTCAAGCCTTTGCCAACTCCCAATGCCAGATGACAGATCCCTTATTGGCTTGCTTTTGGGCTCCCGGCAAGCCCTGCTGATAGCCTGACTCCCTCCTGCCGAGCCCTTCCCCATCATCTTTGCCTGGCTGTGACCAGACATTGACTGGAGAATCGAGAAGTGGGTACAGCCCTCCAGAATCCACCCAATGTGAGGACTGTAATGGCACCCCCTGGGGAAACCCACACCAGAACCTGAGTCAGTGCTAGAGGCTGGCAAGTCAAGGATGAGCCTGCTGATCCCTTCGGCCACTTCCCAGGGCCAGAGAGGGTGACAGAAGAGCCCCTCCCCACTTCTCTTTTTCTTGGAGGCCTTTGTCTAGAAAAAGTAAGTGATCCTTTACCTCTGCAGGGCATCTCATGCTCTACTGACTGGACAGCTAGGCAGCAACCCATTAACATACCCCATAGACCAAGAGAGGTTTAAGTTATAAGAGGAACATTTTTCTATGATCATGTGCCCTGATAGAGAAACCACATTTGCAGGTCAGGCATTGCCTGACAATGTCCGGGCTGGCCCGACACCATGGTCTGGCTTCAATAGAGCTTGGGTCCTGATGGAACCACCCTGGCCCTGCCTAGCGCTGGAACAAATGGACTATGGGGTCCTTGTGAGATTTCTCAGCCATTTAGGGGCATAACAGTTTAGTCAAAGAAAACAGGATCTGTGGGATCACAAATGCTGAGAACCTGACCCTCCCCCAGAGGCCTGGAATGAATCAGACAAGCATTTCCTTGCAAGTCAATTCTCACCTGCAGGGGAAAGGGTGGGGAGCAGATTTCCCAGTCTAGGCCCTTACTCAGCATTTTACATCTTGGGTGTAAGGTTTAGCAACACTACATGTAAGAATACTAAAGAGCCCTGCCACCTTCCCCCACTCTGAAAATTAAATAAATAAACATCTCAAATTAAATTAGGCCAGACATTTTTCTTCACATAGTAAAAGCCTCATTCCTTTTCAAGAAGCCTGTTCAGGGGAAAAATCCGCAAGGGGGTTGGGGTGTGGGGTGGGAGAAAGAAAGTGAAAACTGAGAGAAACATTGAAAGGTAGATGGAGCTGCATTTAAGCAACAGGACTTGGGCTATTTCTTGGAAGAGAAACATTTTGATGTTTCAAATGTTCTGACACTGTTTTCATGAACTCAGTAATGCAAACCAGGTGGTGAATGATTTTTAGAAAAAAACCAAACCACTCCAAATCAACTTCCCCAGTCCCATAGCACATTTTGTGACAGTCCAAATGCGACATGAAATTTCATTCCCTGTGGGTTGCAGTTGTGTGCCAGCTCTGTTCAGAAGGGCCACACACAATTAAGAGACATTTGGCATGACCTTCGGCCATCACTGTCACAGCATTTAAGAGCATTTAAGAGAAATAACAGGGCCACTGACCTACGTCTCGCTTCCGATGATCGATGGAGATGAAGCATATGTAGGGGTTGTTGAGGATGTACCGGGCAGCCCAGGGGACTTCAATATGCGTGCCAGCTTCATAGAAGAGGCCCAGAGCGAAACGGCAGGAATACCTCACCGAGGCCAGTTGTCGTTTCTGACTTTCGCTAATTACTGTGGGGGAAAAAAGGAAAAAAGAGCATTTTCTTTCAGTCCATCCAACTTAAAATACCTTATTTCCTCTGAGTAAAGATGAATCCAACAGACCTCAAGAACAGTCCCCGGGGTTTCCATCTACTCTCGTGATGAACGCAGAAAAGGAACATTAAGATGGAATGGCCTCCAGTTTCTTTTCTGTATTCCTAGGCAGAAATCTTCTAGACCATTAGATAGATCAGCAGACAAATGCATGAATTGTTAAGTTGCAGGGCCTAAGGATGGCAATCGAGGCTCCCAGGCAAAGGCAAAGGACAGCCCCCAGACTACCTTTCTAGCCTCAGGGATGTGGAGCCTGTAGGAGAGCTCTCTGGTGCACACACAGGGCACCAGATTTCCTACTTCTGGCACCAGATTTCCTACTTCTGCACCCTAACTCCCGAGGACCCTTCCACTTACAGCACTCCCTCCCTCATCTCCGTCTATTCAAATCTGACCCGGCACTCGCAGCACTGCCTCCATGGAGCCTTCTAAGATCTCGTCCTTTGGCAGCTTGTCTACAGCCTCTCTCTATTTCTCTTGGACATCAGTCACACAAGGGGAGTGCTGTTTCCTGGAAAACAGCATTACATCTGGAGTCAGAGGACGCACATTAAAAGTTCTAACTCTGCCACAAACTCCTTGGGTGACCTGGGGCAGGTCAGCGGCCCACCAGGGACCTTGGTTTCCTCATCGGTCAAATGAAGGGTTTGGACTGGATGTCCTCGAAGGTCCCCTAAAGCTTCCTGGCTGCCAGGGCCTTCTCCCTCAAATACCTCTTCCTGTATAAGCATTTAAGATTGCAGATACCTTCGGGTTAAGGATGGCTCACTGTTGTCTTTGTAACACAATGCCTGGCACACAGTAGGTGCTTAATACGTGCTTGCTGATGACCTGAGGATGTCCAGACCCTGCCACTTATTTTTTATGAGGCCTGGGGCAAGGGTCTCTTCCCTTCTCTGGGCTTTGGTTTCTTCCATTTAACAATGGCAGGGTCAGGGATAGGAAAACTGCAGCCTGCCTCTTACAAATGCTTTTTACATTTTAAAAATAGCTTCATTGTATTTAAAAATATAAAGACCATTCTTAGCTCCAGGGCTGAGTAAGGGATGGTCTGGCCTGACCCACTCCACACTCTCCTGAATATAATGGGTATACAAATGCTGACATCTTCTCTCTCCCACTAGTCTGTAAGGTCTCTGAGGCCAAGGGTCCTGCCTTGTGCACCTGATTCTCTATCATGCTCGGCACAGAGCCTTGCATGGGGCAGGCACAAAGTCAATGGGCGATCACAATCCCTAGGGCCAGCCAATCCTTTGATTTTGCAAATGAAGGCTCAGGGTCACACAGGTGGTATGTGACAGAACAGGATCAGACCCCCCGGTCATCCGACTGCATCCACTAGTCTTATGAAGGACCTTTGGTCCCAGCTAAGTTTTGAACTGAGAAGCCAATAGACTGCTGAGTGTCATTAGAGGCGCTGGAAGGTTCACCTTCTTCCAAATTGGAGATTTTGAATTTGGAAAGCAATAGTTAATAATTGAATAAAGTGGAGCCTCAGATTTCAGGAACCTTTGGAACAAAAATGAAGACATGAAGACAAAGACGGCCCTTGACCAACCAAAGATTTATGTCCTCACCTAAAGTGTGCAGCAGGATCCCTGGAATTTGGAGTGAGTTTTCCAGAGAAACGATGAGAATAAGAAGGATCTTAGTGGTCACTGAGTCTGATCATGTCAAGGGGCTTAGATGACTTGTCTAAGGTCATTCAGGGAGAGGACAGATTGGGACCTGGGTCCTCTGACCTACAGGTCCCGAGCTGGACTAACTGGCCGACAGCGCTGCTGGCAGATACTTGTAAGACAAAGACAGTCAAAAAGCCCGTTCTTGAAAAGATGCGTGATGCTAGCAGCACAAGGGGGAGGATTGTGGTTAGGGCTCCAGTTAAGGTTGGCCAAGACAGCCGGTTCTCCATCAGGCATGCAAGGAGAGGTCAACAGTCAAGGGAATGTGGGGAAAAGGGTGGTGCAGTGAAAAGTACCAGATTTGGCATCTGAAGACCTGGATCTGCTGAGTGACTTTGGGTGAGACTTTGGGCTCAGTAAAACAAGAAATTTGGAGGATGTGATTTCTAAAGTCAGTCAGTTAACAAGCATTTATAAAGAGCTTACTATGTAGCAGGCAAAGGGCTAAGTGCTGGGGGTGCAAAGTAAGGCAGTCCTTGTTCTCAAAGTGAGAGGGGAGTGGAGGACGCCTTTGACGGTAACAGAGAATGGGTGCACCCATGCACCTCAAGGCTTTAGGTTATGGGCAGGATGAGGGCCTTGCTCCTGAAGAAGCCCCAGGTAAAGCAGGTCTACCTCTGAGACGTGGTGGTGTTAAGTTCTTCTCACGTGAGGTTTCATGATCGATTAGTTCACCAGACTGCAGAGGGGGACACCAAGGGCACTGAAGACACAGAGAAGAGGGGTCTTCTGGGGGAAACCAAGACCAGGTACGGCGGCAAAGCAAGAAGTGGAACATCTAATAGAGGTGGACAAGTGAAAACAGAATTCTAGCAGCTCACAACTGTGCAGAAGGGCAAGGGCAAGAATGTGCTGGCAAATGTTTAACAACCGGCTCTTTGAAAAAGCCAAACTCCAAAACAAGCACAAAAACCCACCAAACATGTACACACGACACACTTCCAAGTTTTCTCTGCAGCATTAACATTTTCTCCACCACTTCCTTAAGTCTAGTCAATCAGCAAAATAATAAAACAAAGCCTGATTTGTAGCATTTGCTGATTGATGAGGTGAAAATTTAATAATCAGCTCTTGAGAACTGATTCAAGCTGGTTCCATCATGCCCCTGGCCAAAAGAGGGTGTAAACCAGACATTTTAATAACTCAACAAACATGGGACAACTTCATGACACATGACCTGGTTTAAACTCAATAGTCAGTCACCACTAGTTTTGTTCTAAAACCAGAACATTAATACAATCCTGGCTTTAAAAAACCCAAACAAAATACTGGCAAGGAATAAATCTGGTGTGTGTGGTGATGGATGTCAATGAGCTGGTCTAAACGGAATCTCCTCCGAGAAACTTTGAAGAAATATGTTGACAGTTTCCCTGAAATCCCCATTATGCTGCCAGTTATGAGAACACCCCCATGTATATCCCTGACCTTTCAAAGCCTGTAGAGGAAATATGCTAATATTTTAGTGGGGAGGAAGGCAGCGGCCACTGAATGGCCAAGGACTCTGGTTAGTCAAGCCCAAGGCAGCCCTTAGCAGTTCAGAACAGAAAGCGAGGGCTTTTGTCCTTTGAAAAGTGAGAGAGCAAGAGTCCCTGGTGGCTGGGCCTACAAGCTTTAGGAAGGAAATAATGCAAGTTTTCCAAAGAACAAAGTTGAACAATGTTTGTCCATGCTTCTAACTTAGAGCTCTGAAAAATGTCCACCAGGGCAGTGTGGTCTCATAAGCAATCTGGGTGAAACACCCAGGGACCACTTTTTGGTTTTCTTTCTCAGGGGCCCTGATGCTTCTGGCTCTGTGCTTCCTTTGGAGTTCCTGCTCTCTCTTTACGTTTCTTAAGATTTTTACCTCGGTAACTATGAGCCAAAAAAGAGAGAAGTGTTTGGATCTTACAATCAGAGAAGTTGCTTGGTAGACTACCTAGCCAGGGTCGCTGGGCTACTAAGGCCAGGAGGCAGGGCTTATATGGGGGTCTTCCTGCCTTGGGGTCCAGTTCTTTATCCACTCAGCCATGTTGCTTCCCTCCTGGGAAACAAAGAAGGATTTAAGATAACAAACAAAACTGATAAAGTGAGAAGTCTTAAAAACCTATTTGATCAGATCGTCCTGGTCTTCAGTGCAGAGACCAATGCACCTAGGCCTCGGCCTTTCTCAGATGTCTCGCATGCTCTGACCTATCCTTTCAGTTTTCCCCAGACCCAACGTCGTCTTGGCTGTATACCAGAGCAGACATTCTGACCTCTACCAAGGACAGATTCAGGTGCAGAGAGACACTAGCTAGGATTATCCATCCTTTAACCAACTGGTTCTTAGTACTGTCTCTGGAGGCAGGGCAACGTACTCCCATATCTGGCTTCCAAACACCTTCCATCAGTTTTAAGCTGTCTTTCAGTGTTGATGCAGCCGCCTCACTGGTGATCTTCGTAGATGAACAACTTCCCTTGTCTTCAGAAACCTGGACAAGAAAGAGACTTTTCATGTAGCACCAAAGACTACATCCAGGGGTTTCAGACTGTCTAGTACTACACTTGGATACACCTTTTTCATTTTTGCTGAAGTCTTCAGGGATTCCTTCCCTCGGAAATTCTATTTCAGTCCAAGCTAATAGAGAAACATGGAAGCCACAGGTGACGCCAGAAGACCATGAGAAGACAATGACTAATGACTTAGGAGGAAATGAGCCTGAAGAAGAACGATGAGAGACTGGGGTGAGGTCTGGTTTAGTCAGATCATCCCCAGAGGACGGTGAGAAATCATTGGGAGGAGAACAATGAGACAAGAAATGGAACAGGTCTGCTGGTAATTCTACTCACAAAGGTGATGACAGCAAAACCACCACACTTAGACCTTGCAACCAGCACTCTGAAGGAAAGGACGATGATGCTTCAGAAGACGAAGGTGGGAAAGCAGCTGAAATGGATCCAATATGTACAGAAAAGAGTTTTGCTTTCATCAGGGTCTACTGCATACAAGAGCTGCTGGGGGGCGCCAAAGTTCATAGAGCACTAGGCCTGGAGTCAGGAAGACTCATGAGTTCAAATCCCACCTCAGACACTTACCAGCTATGTGACTCTAGACAAGTTACTTAACCCTCTCTGCCTCAGTTTCCTCATCTGTAAAGTGAGCTGGAGGAAGAAATGGTAAACCCCACAGAACCCCTCCTTTCCTTCAAGTCCCGGCCCAAAGGCTGTTCTTGATTCTACTACTGGGAGGGCTTACCTTTTCAAACCGCGTTGTAT